AGCCTATTATTACACTACACTGCCCTCTAAAGGCTGACCGCTATAACTACGCTGACAATCAAACTGAGAAGTTTTTTTAAGGTTTTTAAAAAGTTTAAACAGATGAGTAATTAAGAATATATATATTTTTAACCTTTAAAGATGTCTTGACATATTTATTTTGATTGTTAAATTTGTCTTTACAATGTGCTCAGCTAATAATCATAATAATAATAATAATAAGATTAACTCAGTAAAATGAAGATTCCCTTTGTTTTAATTTTCACATTATCCTGAAATTGTCCTGAATTCAGGATTTACTGAAACCGCAGTAACTGCACTTACTGCAGTTTGGTTTCTGGTTGGATTTTGTAGTTACTGAAACTTTTGTATAATTTTTGTCTCTAAAATCGAACTTAGAAAATGTGTCACAAGATAAAACAGACATTTAAAATTTCAGTTTCAGGCAATGTAGTTACTGCAGCTTCCCTTTGTAGGCCGGTATAGTGTTTTTGAGTTCTTGTCCCCGAGTGTTCATGCTGTGCTGCTTTCCACAATGTTGGACCCCCAAATATTATCTCCCACTTGGACGCCCAGGTTGGGAACCACTGCTTTCTGGGGCTGCATGATACAGTAAAAAAGTCATATTGCGATTTATATATCGAATAATTACTAATATATAGAAAATAAAGAGGAAAAAATAAAGTAGAATACAAATTCACTTACAGTCGCAGTGCAGGAATAACTTTATTAACTTATATATTTATATATTTTACTTTTTTTGTCAAAATTCTGGAAAACAAAACATTTTCAAAAACAACATATTTGACTCTTGAATGCAAAGACTCGACAGTAATGCTAACAATGCCAACCACTGCAGCACATTCATTCATTCTCTCTCTTGTTATCTCTCCCTCTCTCCCAGCTATTATTTCCCCTTTGCCATCGTCCTCTCCCTCCCTCTCCACCTCTCTGTATCTCTCGGCCCATCTCTCCTCTCCCTCCAGGTCTGTTGTATGTAATTTATTTCCGGCGCACAAACAGCTCACTGTAAATAGAAGCTGTTAAGCTGCTCCAGCACTCTGTTTTAATAGACCCCGTGTTTGGTTATGTAATGATTAAATAGCTGACCTGCGCTTTAATGGCGTCATAAATCACCGAATGTGGTTTTACAGTCTCATAAAGCAGGAATCAGCTGGTGGAGGTGGGCACGGTCAACAGCCAAGGTCAAAGGTCAGACAGCAGTGTTTACAGTGGCACTCATTAAAAGTTGCCCTTCAAATATTCACCCTCTGACTGCTGTAGGTGTCATCACAATCTTAAAATGTCTGCAAAAGTCTCACATTTAGATCATTTCAAACCTTTTTAAAGCCAATTATATTGTAATAACCAGTTTCTATGCAGTACTTTATAGTTTCATAACATTTGTTTACTGAAACTTACACAAACTGATGGTTGTGGACCTGTATTTGATTAGATGTAGTCTCAGGGATCCCCGTCTGATAAGATTTAGATATTCCATAACTGGAGATGGGCAGATTAATAGTGAAGAAACCTTTGGTTACAGAACTGGAGTTCACTCAACTGCTGGACTCAGAAATGTAGTTTTTATTGCAGCAGAGGTCTGGTGAGAGGCTGGTGGCTCAGGTTGGAGGCAGTGCTGTAGTCAAGACCACCTTTCGTTCACAGTATGGCACATAAAGGGGATTGGCGTCCAAGATATAATCCAAGAGATGTGCGTGAGTGTAACACAGAGAGCGGGTGGGGGTATGAGGGTATAAGAGTTCAGAGCAGGTCAGTGTCCGTTTACACAAAGTTCTCGCAGTTACTGAGATCATAATATGAAATACCCATAAAATATGTGACTTATATATATAAATATGTGAGTTTACTAAATATAAATATTGTTAAATAAAGGGAAGGGGCTGGGAACCACTGCACTACAGCACAGAGGTCTCACAGATATCCCAGCAGCCACGTGGATTATCAGACTGGACCTGAACCAGTTCGCCACCAGTTCAGATTCAGAGGACCGAAACGGGTTCACGTCAGGGTGAGACGAGGCTCCGACGTAATAAACCCCCAGAAGTCTTTATGTGTGTGTGTGTGCCCCCGAACCCTTAAAGGTTTACCAGCAGCCTGTCTGTGTCTCTGCCAGGTGTAGTCTGTCTACAGCTGCTGTGAGTGTGTGTGTGTGTGTATCTGCTGCCCTGGAATGGCTGCTTATAAAACTGACTGTGACCACCCCCCCGCACAGCCTCACGCCTCCGCAGTCTCTAGCTGGCAAACTCTGACCCCTGGCTAACAGATGTACAGGTGTTGTCTGCAGAGACAGGTGGACGCCGCACCTCTGCTTTGATTTCTCATGTCTGCTAGGAAATGGTCGACATCAAAAAACCCACAGACACACGGTTCGTCTGTAAACAAGCACCGTGCCATCGAGAGAACCCAAAGAAATGCCATTAAGCTCAGTTTAAGACTTAATAAAAAAGGCTTATTAACAAAGCTCAGTCCAGAATTTGCCAGAAGGACACGTTCTTCTATGCACTACTGCTTTTAATTGCATCAGAGCCCAACTGGGTTGTAATGTACATTTAAAATGATCCCAATCACTTTTATTTATATTCAGATTTTCACTGACAAGAGACGGTGATTAGATGCTGTGGAGTACAAACACAATAATGACAAATCGACGACGCCCAGCAGGGGTGAAAAAAGAAATAAAAATGACTTAAACACCAGCAAAACATTCGCCACCAACGCCTCATTTACATTAACGTTTCTTCTTCTCCAACTCGAATAATAAAATATTAGTGCTGTCAGTTAAACGTGTTATTAACGTCGTTAACGCAAACCCATTTTAACGGCATACATTTTTTTATCGCGAAATTCATGTTCTTTTTGGCCTAGCACACTTTGTAGTTTTTTTCACATGCTGTTGCAACAACTAGTAACGTTAGAAAAACTACAACACCACAACGGATCTAGCTAGACCGGAAACAAAACAACAGGCACGCCGCACACACTTGTTTAAGAGTAGTAGACGTTACGCTTTGAGTTAATGGCGAGCGCGAGACGCCGAAATCGATGCCAATAATATTCTGAATGCAAAGTTTACTTTTAAAAAGTTGCCAAATGGTTCCATTGACAAGACCAAAGTGATCTGTGTGTTTTGTTGTTGTGAACTGAGCTGTTTTTGTGACAGAGTATTTTTTTCACCCTTTTACTGATGGACAGTGTTACATTGTGTGAGAGATTATTTGCTCCAAGTGAGAATGTTAGTGTGAAATTGAACACTACAGTATACGCCAATGTTCAATGGTTCCTAGGTTCTTGAATGGATCCGGTTCAAGAACCAGAGGTAATTTTGTGGATAAACACAATTAGTTAACTTTGGAGTCCATTTCCCCCTCGTTGTACTAATCCACAGATCGACGGTAACCGACAGGGAAGTGAAGGACGGTGGTTTTATCTCGCCTCCTCCTGCTGCCGGATAAACTTATGTGAGCTGTTCAATTTTCATACTGACAGAAATGAAGGACAAAACTATTTTAAAAAATTAGGACCCAAGTTGTGATGAACCTCTTTAAATCTCATTCTTTCTCTTTGAAAAAAGTAATCTGATTACATGTGGTTTATTACTTAACAGGCCCTGAATGTGTTTCACTGTCCTCAGCTCCTCTCTGGCTGCACAATAGAAACAGCTTATGAATAGAAATACATTTAAACCCCTCATTATGGACGTCAACTGTCAGGAGGTTTCAGCCCAAGGCTGCTGCTTGCGTGTGTGTGCGTTACATTATCCAGTTTTTGTGTGCATCTCTTTTCACGTGTAAGTGTGTGTCAGAGATTAGGTGTGTATTCATGTCCTTTTGGCTTCACCTTTGTGTGTGTGTGTGTGTGTGAGTGTGTGTGTGTGTGTGTGTGTGTGTGTGTGTGTGTGCGTGTGTGTGTGTGTCCAAGGCTGGCATTCGTCACAGCGGCCGGCTCTCTGTTCCCAGACTCTGAATGTATTCATGAGTTAGCTGTTGACTCAGGTAGTTAGTTCACCTGTCCACACACACACACACACACACACACACACACACACACACACACACACACACACACACACACACACACACACAGAGAGAGAGAGAGAGTACACACACACCCCTGCTGTGTCTTTGTCCAGACATTCAACAAAACTTGCCAAATTTCCCTCCTCAGCCCTCAGCAGAAAACCTGTCCCCTATCCCTCCATCTCCCTTGTCCCTTTGTAAAGTTAAACTCCCATGATGCTTAGCAAACGGGGACCTTTGAAGTCAGCTGGGAATGGGGGGAAGAGGGGGGGATTTCCTGACGTCTAGTTTTGTCCAGATCTCAGAGTCAAAGTGAACAGACGGCAGGTTTCTTGGCGGTGGGAGGGAGGGTTTTGGAAGGTGACACCTCTCTGTTTTCTCAGCCAGGATTCCTGTCAGTTATGTAACATTGAATCTGACTCATTCAGCCCCGACTGCAGCAAAATGATGCTGATGATCACACAACCACAAACCACACTTTATTCACATAATACCTCGAGCAACACCAGTACTAATACTACAACTTATAGGTACTGTTACCGCAATAAGTACATTTAAAGGTCCAGTGTGTAACATTTAGGAGGATCTATTGGCAGAAATGGAATATAATATTTATAGGTATGTTTTTATTATTGTACAATTGCCTGAAAATAAGATTTGTGTATGTAAGAAAAATATAAGATAACATCAGGCTGAAGTAGAAGTATCAGCACTGCCATGGAAAAATATTCTGTAACTTATCACTGGGTGGCATGTTGAGACTAATGTGTTTCCAGTGGATTTCATAAGCTTTAAATGTGTTGTTTTTCCGACATAAAGACAATTACAGTCTGTTTGATGGAAGTAGTATTTATTGAGTTTGATTCCTCAGTAGATTAACTGACTAACATGAGTCAGTCAGAGAAGGATGTGGTGGTTCTTAAGGTTGTCTGAATGGTTCTTTTCTGATGTTTTATTCAGCAGAAAGACGATATCAGCCTATCAGAGGGCAGCACGGTGGACCTCAGGAAGCCTGGGGAGGAAGAGGATGAGTACTCAGAGATGGCTGAAGAGGCCATGGACCCCGACAACTGCTTCCCGGACTGTAAGCACACACACAGACAGACTTAGTCAATTACGTCTCAGTGGAGGACAGCTGAGGCAACGAGGTCAGACACATATTACAACGTTTTAGTAAAATATACTCAAACTTTTCAGTTTTGAAAGTATAATCTGATGTTCGTGGTTTGGAGCCAGAAATGAGGTGCTGAAACAATAAGTTGATTTATTAAACCTTAAAGTTTGATAATCGGTTAATGCTTTTTTTATCAAGCAGAAATGTCAAACATCTTCTCAAATATAAGGATTTTCTGCTTTACTCTGTTTTACATCATATTTATCATTATATCTTATAATTTTGGGTGTCGGACTAAACAATTTAAAAGTTTTACCCTGTTGTCTGGAAACTTATGATTTCTGCTATATTCTGACAAATACAGGCTTGGGGGATAATCAGGATACCAAAAAAGGTAACTGTAATCCATTACATTACAGGTACTTGGATTAGGTTACAGACTACATTTTTTTTACAGGTATTTAGTAACTGTTTCAGATTACAGTTTTAAAGTAACTCTCCCAACCCTGCATGTACATTAACTTAAATATAAATTGATTCAGGTTGACATTTTATTTCCCAAACACAGAAATATAAGCTAGCTACTGTACGTCTACAGGGATTTGGAGAAGTAGTTCATGTTCTGAAGCTGTAACCATTCAGTTACACGTCTTCCACTAACCGAGAGCCCATCCCACCACCCACTTGCCCTAATACTTTCATAATGAGATTTATGATTCTGTACCAACTAACCCAGGTGAAAAAGCTTGTTTCCTGCCTGACTCAGCCCGTTTCCCCCTGGAGCACACATATTTGTCTTAGACCCAGTTCAGCGCAGCTAGCATGACCGTGATACAGAGACAGAGGAGAGAAATAAAGGCTGGGGAAACACTAGAGTGCCATTTGGCTAACAACAGCAAATGAAATCCCCGGAGAGCTGAGATAGCCAATGACGTATGATCGTTAATTTGTGGTCGAAGAACTGCAAGTACAAGAGAACATTTATTTCTATGCAGATGACATACAGCTGCACATTAACATATTACCCAATTATGTTAGCCCTGCTTACAAGGTTGTTTAGGGTTTGATCAGATCGACTGATCTAAAAACTGGGCAAATTGTCTGCAGTCAGCTTCTAGTCAGCAGCCTACATGGACACGTAGAAGACGTTTGCCTTCAGGGCTTTCTGCCAGAAACAAAACAAGAGACTAATTTACAAGATTGGGAAGCGACACATCTTATATGATCCACAGCACTGTTTCTAGTAGAATATCCTCAATAAAAATAGGGTTTGGAAGGAAATCATGAAGCTGTTGGGAGTAACAAGTAAATTTACTTTTCTCTAACTATATAGAATCCAGGCTGATAAAAGGTTGTTGCTGCGACATCGCTCGTTGTATATCTGGACAGTTTTTCGCTCTCCATCCAGAGTTCACTCGGTTGCTGTTCGTGAGGCCAACTTTCACCTGAAGTGTTTGCAGTGTCTGCAACACCAACGCAAAACAAAGTTGCAACTTTTTATCAGATATATGCTCAGTTTCTGATGATAATATATTGAAGAGTCTCAATTGTTCATAAACGTTGTTTTTACATTGTTGTTTTTGTAGTGATTGAATTTAGATCCATTTTGTCCTCACAGTAAATGAGCAGGTTGGTGGTTCAGTTTGAAATTGTGCGTCACATGATAATTTCACTAACCATAAGCCCATTCCACCACCCACTTGCCCCAATACTTTCATAACGAGATTTATGATACTGCCTAACCCAGGTGAAAAGCAAACACCTTGTTTCCTTCCTGACTCAGCCAGTTTTCCTCCTGGAGCACAGACATTTGTCTTGCACACAGTTCAGCACAGCTAGCATGAACACTGTAGAGAGACATAAGAGCAGGGACGGAGAAAGTGAAGGTAATATATATGTTTGTGTGTTATAGATTCAGTTTTAGGGAAAAAATGGCTGACTTCAAATTGTTCAAACTTCTAGTTCAGTTTTTTTAAATAGATATTGCCCATTTGACTTTCAGAGGTAACTTAAGGTAAATCTCAGACAGAATTAGGCCAGCCAGCTGGAAAACCCTCTCCGAAGGACAAAAACAACAAAAAAGCATCCCCAGCACCTGCAGAGACTACATTAGTGAGACTCTAGTGTGGAAAATACAGTATTTGCACCTGACAAATATTGACCAATTGACCAAATGTCTCATATGGGATAGTTTGTGACAAATACACATATCATTGGACACATAGTTAATAATCAAAATACTTCCAGATTTTAACCAGATTTTAACCTGGATTTGATATCCCCCTGAATCTAAAGGTTGGTGTTTCTTGCTTCAATTAGACGTTGCTCACAGAAGTTAATAACTAACTCAGACAATTCACACTTCAGCAGGGCAATGACAAAAAAGAGAACCAAATAATATATACAACACAACATACAACAGACAAATCAATAAAATCAAAGAATCAAGCTTTATTTATTTGCTTTCTTACAGTTTAGTGCAGTTGAGAGTGCTTAATACAACAGAATGGAATAAGAACTAGATATGGTAGATTTAAGACTAAAATACAAAGACAAAAAAGGACAATAAAATAAAATAACAAGAATAAAACAGAAAATAACAAGAATAAATAAATTGTTAATTATAATTAGGAAATGGGACATATTGATGTTAATAAGAAACAGTGCTAAATGTTAAAAACAATAAAAACAAAGCCACAATTAAGATATGCAGGCATCGATGCAGGCGGTCTCTGGCATGGAAGAAAAAAACGTTTTTGTTTTATCGCCCGCCACTGCGTCCAGAGGCTTCCTGCTTCCTGTAAGAGGTGCTTTGGATGAAAGCGCCTGCCAAACGGCAGATGTTGTATTAGCTTTGATTCATTTAGAAGATTGATGCGTCCATCGCAACTGTCCCAACACGCCGCCTGCTTCTTCCTGATTCAGCAGAGTCCTTCACAGCAGGCGGACGTTTGTCACCAGCTGGACTCAGATCAGCTGCTGGAGCACCGACAGAAGAGGGATGGAGCATGAATGAAAAACCACTTCTTAAACTCCACAGTTTTGAAATCAGCACGTCTGTATTGTAGGTGAGATACATGACGAGTTAGTGAAGAGGAGGAAAAGCAAACAATGTGACAAAAGAGGAGGCAAAAAGAAAGGACAAAACAAAGAAGGAACAAAAGGGAGGAGGAAAAGAGACTCAGAAGACTCACGCAGGAAGTGATATACGAACAGATTTTCTCCTATTTTTGTTCCTAGATTTGTTCTTATTTTGTTTTATTTTGTACCAGTGTGCTCTTATTTTTGCTCTTCAGGTCAGAGAACATTGTACGAGTGGTTGAGAGCACTCTTACCAAGATGAGAACAAAACATCTAGTTTTCACAGTCCACAAATTGTTTGCCCAACACAAAGAAACATGAGTTTGAGGAACATAAAAGAGGCAAGAATATCCTGTAATAAGGTCAGATTATATGTTTTACAGTAATTATAGTGATTGGATTATTACATGTCAAGCCTTTAGCTTCAGTATGAGACACATCGGGCTGCCAGGAAGACTTTAAAACACGCCATTAACGCTGTCAGATGGTCGCAGGTTGGTTCGGTTTAGGAAAAGATCATGTTTAGGATATGATGCAAAAATAAGAAAAGAGCAGATAAGAATAGTTAGAGGAAGAAAATGAATAAAAAATATAAGGCAATTGAATGATGACGGACTTTGATCTTGCTGGTATGAGCAGATTTTGGGGACAGAAGCAGAATCCGACCGCCTGCGTGCTGCTGGCTATCCTCCAGACTCAGCTCACAGTCCCCTCACACTGGACCAGTACCACCAGTATGCTGACACAGCACTCGGTTACTGCGTGTGTGTGTGTGTGTGTGGGAGCAGTGGGTCCTGCGAGTCGGCCAGCTGCTGCAGAAGTAGGCCAGAAAACTGACGAACAACAGCCGGCAGACACCAGCTGTGTGTGTGTGTGAATACTAGCAGAGGCAGTTTGTGTTTGTGCAGACACAAAGTGACCATCTGGAAGTTGGACTGAAATTAATTTCACTACGAGTATGTTTGTGACTGACGTTTTCGTTGATAAAGCCAGTCTGCGTTGTTAAACATCGGCACGCTACCATACGGTTAGGATTCCTTCAGTGTTCATGGTTCAGGAGGTTTCTACCGGGAGCCCAATGATCCACAGAGGTCTCCTCCTCTCCAACACAAACAGACCCGCTGATTAAAACCACTAAACACACTGAATAAAGCAGTTCCACCTTAAACACACTGAATAAAGCAGTTCCACCTTAAACACACTGAATAAAGCAGTTCCACCTTAACAATCACTGCTTCTCCCACGCTGTTGGACAGACAAAGGACGTCCCGGAGGGGCTGCGAGCCGAGCTGCTGCTAACGTTAGCTCAGCTTGTTTCTCTGATAACTTAAGATCCAGACGTCCGATGACTAAAATCCTTCATCCGGTTCAAATCTAGAGTTAAAAAGCACCAAGATCTAAACAGTGGATGGTAACAATGTGGCTTCAGACTGGATCAACAGTCAATGTATGACAGCTTCTGCTCATGGTTAGTTTAGTTCCATATCCACAACCACCCGAGGGCGGCCGGTGGTGATCAATGATTATTAACTTCAAATTGTACTTTAAAAGTACCTGTTAGTGTCATAATAACTTATTTTTATTTATTTACTGTCACATTAATGTTTATAGTGCTTTATTTTAGCTCATTTTTTTAAAATGTAGAAACAGTTTGAAGCAGCAACTTACTGCCCATATATCTACTTGTGTGTGCGTTTGCTGGAGTTTGTGTGTTTATGTGCTTGCGCAGTTTATGAAGCTACTGTTTTGGTTGTGAGGGATTGTGTCTCTATGTGTGTGTGTGTGTGTCTGTGTGTGTGCGTGTGTTCCTTCATGCTGTGATTACAAAGCACAAACAGCAGCGTGCCTCCCCGCTGCTCCCTCTGGCTGTCAGTAAGACGGAGGGTGTG